ATTAAGTCTGTTTTTTCATATAGAAGTGAAAATCTTTCTCAAAGCAGCGTACAACAGTGATTGGTCTTTAGTACATAGGTTATATTTATCGCCTTTATTTTTATAGAATGTTTTGATGGTCCCTATCAACCATGACTCTGGAATTTTCCCCGTTTCAAATATCAAATTGAATTGAAAATGTTAATGAATTTATCAATAGAGGCCTTTATATGTTAATTTACAATATTAACATCGGCACACGCCTTGTTGTTCTTTAAGTTATGGACACATTTAATGATGTCTTCTCTACTTATTGGCATATTAAGTTCTTTATTGATGTTATCGAATATATTTCCGGTAACGGGGAATGTAAAATCGTTAGTAGTATTTTTTTTGTGCCAGTTTAATTCTTTAAAGAAAGAAAGAAATTCTTCAAAACAATCTTGTAAACTAATTGATACATCATTGACAATAAATAAAGTGAACGAATACAACTCCTTTGAACAGTTGAAGGGTACCATTCCCAGTTAGTTCAACTCTACACAATATACGCAATGGTCGATGAAGTTATGTACCAACTCGTCTTTAGTCTTATACCCAATAAAAGTGAACAGACATACATGTACGACCGCTTATTCAACATGCTATATACTGCTGGTCAACATAACCAACTCCAACTATCACTAAAGATATTCTTCACTGACTTTGAGACAGCTACAGTACCCGTAAATCTGCGTAGCGAGAATTCGCCAAAATTACTTTGATGCTTCTTTTCACTACACACAATAATTGTTTCTCAGATACTATATTAAAACCTCATTTAGATGTATCATTACCGTAGTTGAGTTTGTTTATGTGGTATTTGTAGTAAAACCCTCATATTACAGATAAGAAAAGCAGGCAAAACATTTCAGCGTGTGCACTCTGGTTTATTAATTAAACTTTTTGTGCTTTGTATAAAACTATTAATTTGCCCTTAATTTAAAGTATTTTCCATAATTTCAGGTTTTTAAAGTGCATTTGTTCATTAGCGCTTATATTGTTATTATTTCATACGATTGTAAAATAGTTTCGTTGTTAATCACTCTTTTGTATACTAGAGCTCTTTAAGAAACGTGAACACACCATTAAAATTGACATTTCACTAAAACAAAATGTTTTTCTTCAAACTTTGGATTATTGAAACAGTGTGCTTGGTTATAAACAAGGTATCAAGAAATGTGCGTATTCTGCCTACATAGAATTATTGGAGAAAAAGAAGAAATTGAATTTTCAACCCTCTGAAAATAACTCGCAATGGTTATCTGTATAAAATGTATATATTTAGCTGTAATTCTAATTACACAATTTCCTTACTTTTTTGTGTAAAATAAGCGAACAAAAATCAGTATTGCCCAGTATGACCCATTTCAGGGAGATTGCCCAGCCCGGGTAAACCGAGATTTTCCCACCCGTATTTCCCACCATGTAATACTTTGCCAATCCTGTTTTCTTGCCTTTTAATATAAATCTAAATTGATTTTTTTTCTTCAGGTATAATACATATTTTTTTAATGTTACGCTACACCTATATCATTACATGTAGCTGTTAGTGCATGTTTGGTATGGACTTTTTTTTATAATTAAAGAATGATCATGCAAACCGCTACAATCGTTATAATGGTTGAACAGTGTTCTTTGCAAACCGATACAGATAATTGTTGTTCTTTGTACATGTAGAAGCACAGATCAATCGTTTTTGTCGGTTCACAAAGAACACATATAAATAAGAAGATGTGGTATGAGTGCCAATGATACAACTCTCCATCCAAGTCACAATGTGTAAAAAGTTAACAATTATAGGTCAAAGTACGGCCTTCAACACGGACCCTTGGCTCACACCGAACAGCAAGCTATAAAGGGCCCCAAAATGACTAGTGTAAAACAATTCAAGCAGGGAAAAAAAACGAGAAACGAGAAACACTTAGGAATCAGATCAACAAACGACAACCACTGAACAACAGGCTCCTGACTTAGGACAGGTGCAAACAAATGCAGTGGGTTTAAACATTTTAACAGGCGCCAACCTTCACCCTAACCCGAAACAGTAGTGTAACATTACAACATAAAAAGACACACTATAAAATATCAATTGAAATGGCTTAACTCGATAAAAAAGACCTAGAAACAAAAACAAGTAAACATACCCCGAACGAATCAGTTTGATCTATCACATAATATAGTCGAATGTATATCGATACACAAACACAAATCTATCATTTTCCGGTTCAAACTGTAACTGGTCACCTTTGTTTTGGGAAAATGGCTTGTTAACAATGGGAATTGATTTAACATTTTGGTATCGGCTATGTAAACTTTATCTGTTGGGATCATGTATATTTCAATGTTAAGGATATATGATACCGTGTATATAGAACTAATAAAACATGCGACTATTTTAAATTTTTGGGATACATGTAATACTATATGTTCATATACTTTAATATTGATTCTATAGGAAATAAATGTTCCAGTCACTGGTATCAAGATCAAATTGTTATTGTGTTGTTGTCTCAATGACGTCAAACTAATAATTCTGATCTGTTGATTGTAAAATAATGCCTCCCTACTCTTTATTCATAATTGTACTTCCGTATATCTATTCCAAATAGTGGAGTCGAGTTAAACAAGCTTACTTTGTAACGGAATACGGTCATATTTGCATATTCGGTAATTTTATTTTTATAAATGTGTGTGGTATATGTAAAATGATACACCGATCAAACGACAAAAATAACTAAACGGCAAATAAACGTCATAGGTGCATGATTTTTTTCATTAGTTGGTATTGGCTTTGAACTAGCTGTCAGTAACTGCGAGTACTCTCAGATCTGTACTTAGTGTCTTTCTGTTGTGTGGATGTATAAGTACCCGTCCACATCCACTCTGTGTTTTTGTTAGATGTATTTCTATTTGTATCCATCTGATGAGTTAAGCCTTTTTCAACTGATTTTTATAGTTTGTTCTTATGTAGTACTGTTACACCACTGTCCCAGGTTAGGGGGAGGGTTTGGCGCCAACAAACTAGTTTAACCCCGCCACATTCTGTATGTGCCTGTCCCAAGCCAGGAGCTGTAATTCAGTGCCTGTGTAACATACTTGTTTTTCGTTCATTATTTTGTACATAAATTAGGCCGTTAGTTTTCTCGTTTGAATTGTTTTACATTTGTCATTTCGGGGCCCTTTATAGCTGACTATGCGGTATGGGCTTTGCTCATTGTTAAAGGCCGTACGGTGACCTATAGTTGTTAATTTCTCTGTCAGTTGGTCTTTTGTGACGAGTTGTCTCATTGGCAATCATACCACATCTTCCCATTTTTATGTCAACATACACTCGTCAACAAGTGACCAGGTTTTATACAATGTTTTGGGCTTACAATCGAAAGAAAATGAGGCTCATACATGTAAGAGCCCGAATCGCTCACTTGGTAAAAAATAAGACATTTTGATATTTATTTTTACCTGTACTGCAATCAGTTATGTTTGCTTATTTGTTAATCATATTAAGTGATATTTTTGAAGATCTTGTATAGATGATCATATTTACTGTTTACAAAAAAAGTAAAATGACAAAAATACCGAGCTCCACGGAATATTCAAAACGGAAAGTCCTTTATCAAATTGAAAAATCAAAAGCTCAAACACATCAAACGAATAGAAAACAACTGTCATGTTCCTTACTCGGTACAGGCATTTTCTTTTGTAGAAAATGGTGGATTAAACCGGGTTTTATAGCTAGCTAAACCTATCACTTGTATGACAGTCGCATAGAATTCCATTATATTGACAACAATGTGGGAGCAAAGCAAAAAGACATAATTTTTAATGATTTATTAAAGGTTTAGAGATAATTGTCAAAATTATAAATTGAAAAAATAAAATTCGTCGTTTTATTCTGGTTTCTGTAAAAACGGTCAAAAACTACTTTTAATGGCAATAACTCATATAAGGATTCAATTGACTTTTATACCATATTGCCTCATTTATAAATCTTATTTTGCTGAATTTTTTGCTTTTTATATTTTATCTCTGTTTTTTAAAGTTTCCGCAAAAAAGGTAAAAATTGTCTTTCAGGGGCAATAACTCATATAAGGGGTCAATAATGATTTCGATCTTTGTGACTAATTTGTAGGTCTTATTGTCATTTTAACTGTTTAAATGTCTAACCATCTGTTATAGTTTTCAGGAATATAACCTAAATCTTCGAAATTTGCCAAAAAATATATTTCTGGGGGCAATAACTCTAAAATGGATTGTACACAGGAGATAGACCTTGATCTTCTGATAATGTTTATCTAGCATATATTGCTATAGCTCTTTAGTTTTGACATACATTTATAAGACAAACACTATATTTTAACCCTATATTATAGATTTAAGCTACAGTGGCCGTGCTTGTTGGCGGATCGAATCCCCGGATATACTTTTAAGACAATATACATGTACCCTAAGGAACATTCCTGTAAAATTTGGTAACATGTGGCACAGTAGTTTTAGCGAAGAAGATTTTGTTTAAAAGTTTACGACGGCGGACAGACGACGACGACGACGACGACGACGGACACCAAGTGATGACAAAAGCTCACATGGCCTTTTAGGTTAGGTGAGCTAAAACGAATAAATATACAGCTGCAAAATAAAATCAATAAAAACAGTGCACAGGAGGTTTATAATTTTTCTTTAAATTCATGACCTCCACTGGTTTTAGAGGATTCGTGGATACAATGATTATGCCGACGAACGAACAATCGGATAAAACATTCACCAAACTAATTTAAAAGATTTCTCCTCATCACTACCGTTGACTAAAGATGGAATTAACCTAACATTGAACTCAACTGATATTGTTGCTTTTGAATAACAAAATACACCAATGTTGTCAGTAATTATAACATAATTTGTGCAAGTCTTTATTTCGAAATATAACAAAGTGAGATCAGTATGGCACCATTTCACTTACTATTACAGTTGTATTTTTTCAGATGTATTTTATTTGAAAATTACGAAACACAGTAAACAATGTCCGACTATTTAATGGTTGCGTCTTTAGATCTTGGCACAGCCTATTCTGGGTATGCGTTTTCTCTTAGGAATGATTTCAAACGTGATCCACTAAGGATTCATTCTAACCAGACCTGGAATGCAGGTAACGCACAACTAATGTCACTGAAGACACCTACCTGTATTCTTCTCGACAGTAGCAGAAAGATAAAATCCTTTGGATATGAAGCGGAAAGTGATTATTCACAGTTAGAGGAAGAGGGCAATGAAAATCAAGAAGATTATTACTTCTTTCATCGTTTCAAAATGATACTGTATGAAAATGAGGTAATGACATATAGAATGCAAATCGTTTTTTTTATTTGTTCATACTTGCACCACATACTTTGTAAAGCTGATATATATATATATATATATATTTGAAATGAATATAATTTATAAACACTTACAAAACTATATTACACGCATATTTGAAATTCAAACACTACATTTGACCTTATAATTTGATTTTTTACATGACCAAACATAAAATGATGCAACTTCTGTGCATTGCGAAGACAGAATGTGTACTAAGATTTAAGCACGTGCTTTTGTAATGTAAGTGGTCGTTTTGACCTTGCTGTAACTGGTAAGCAATAAACTTGTAGTTTATCGTCGACGACATTTTATTTTTGTGTTGCCGAAATGGAACAATAGCAACGTAGACATTGTTTCATTTATACAAATTGTTTTCCAAGTATTTCAATTGTTTTTGACTCCATATCCTTTCCTTTCAATGATATCGATATTCTTCAAAGGGATAGATTTGATTTTATACAGTACATTAAAAAGCATGACGTTTTTTAAAATATTTTTATCCTTAAAACAGACGATACAAGTATATTGATTTTAAAAACGAAAGGAACTTTTAAAATGTATTCTTGTAAGATAAGAGCATCATATTTCCTAACGTCGGATTACATCTGATACTTGTACTATCTTTTCAGAATCTAAAACAACAAAGACTTAAGGATGTAACAGGGAAAACTCTTGCCGCTTCAGAAGTTTTTTCAAAATTTATCAAAGCACTAAAAGACCATTTATTGACTCAGATTATTGAAAAGGGCAAAACCATAAAGCCACATGAAATACGATGGGTATTATCTGTTCCAACGATATGGACGGATGCATCTAAACAGTTCATGCGGAAATGTGCACAACAGGTATATTAAACTAAACATCTTAGTACGTGGGAATGTGCACATCAAGTATATTAAACTAAGCATCTCACGTGGGTATGAGCATATCAAGTATAAACTAAACATTTCACGTTCGAATGTGCACATCAGGTATAAACTAAGCATCTCACATGGGTATTTGCATATCAGGTAAAAACTAAACATATCACGTAGGAGTGTGCACAACAGGTATAAACTAAACATCTAATGTGGGAAGTGCACATCAGGTATAAACTAAGCATCTCACGTGAGAATGTGCACATCAGGTATAAACTAAGCGTGGGAATGTGCACATGAGGTATAAACTAAGCACCTAACATGGGAATGTGCACATCAAGTATAAACTAAGCATCTCACATGGGAATGTGCAAGTCAGGTTTAAACTAAGCATTTCTCGTGGGAATGTGTACATCAGGTATAAACTAAGCATCTAACATCGGAATGTGCACATCAGGTATAAAACAAGCATCTCATGTGGGAATGTCCACATCAGGTATAAACCAAGCATCTCGCGTGGAAATATGCACATCAGGTATAAACTTAGCATCTCACGTGGGAATGTGCACATCAGGTATAAACTAAGCATCTCGCGTGGAAATGTGCACATCAGGTATAAACTTAGAATTTCACGTGGGAATGTGCACATCAGGTATAAACTAAGCGTGGGAATGTGCATATCAAGTATAAATTAAGCACCTTACATGGGAATGTGCACATCAGGTATAAATTAAGCACCTCACGTTGGTATGTGCATATCTGGTAAAAACTAAACATCTCATGTGGGAATGTGCACATCAGGTATAAACTAAGTATCTCACATCGGAATATGCACATCAGGTTAAAACTTAACATCTTGCTTGGAAATGTTCGCATCAGGTATAAACTAAGTATCTCACGTGAAAATGTGCACATCAGGTATAAACTAAGCATGGGAATGTGAACATTAGGTATAAATTAAGCACTTCACATTTGAATTTGCACATGAGGTATAAATTAAGCTTCTCAAGTGGGTATGCGCACATCAAGCATAAAGTAAACATCGCACGTGGGAATGTGCACATCAGGTATAAACTAAGCATTTCACGTCGGCCTCTGCATATCAGGTCAAAACTAAACATCTCACGTGGCATGTGCGCATCAGGCATACACTAAACATCCCACGTGAGAATATGCATATCAGATATAAACTAAGCATCTCACGTGGGTATGTGCATATCAGATATAAACTTAGCATCTCACGTGGGAATGTGCACATCAGGTATAAACTAAGCATCTCACGTGGGAATGTGCACATCAGGTATAAACTAAGCATCTCACGTGGGAATGTGCACATCAGGCATAAACTAAACATCTCACATGAGAATGTGCACATCAGGTACAAACAAAACAGTTCACGCGGAATCGAAATGGGAAATGAAATTCTTTTGTTGCTTTTAAAAAATTTAAATGAACTATGCCAATTATATTTCCACTATGCGAAAAGTAAAAAAAATGTAAAATAGCTATTCCAAACGCTGCTGTTAATAGATACATATTTGAAAACTTTCAAAATTACATACTATACGTAGTAAAACTGTTTAAAATCTATTATCTAACGTTGTCTGTACGTCAACTGTACAGGGCAAACAGATGTTTTTAGTGAAAATTCGAAATATTCTATATTCTCTCAAATATATAACATGCGATATAGAAGATATGTAAATTAAACAGCAACTCTACGATCAGGCATCCCCTCCTCTCCAAAACTACAACTTTGGCTCAAATTTCTCTGTAATATGTCAAGCCCTAAATCGCTCCGGGTCGAAAAAAGTTATGAATTAATATAATAATTAAATAGCTGCCATCATCATCAAATTTCCAGAAGGTCAAATATTATAATAACTAAAAACAATTACTGACAACATCCTGATCGTTAAGGACAGGTACGTGATCATGTGGCGATATTTAATATTTTCTGAGAATTCAACCTTCTCCATTGCTAAAAAAACAAAACAAACTACGACGAGTGGTACAACGTCTTCTGAAACAGTATGTTCTAGTGTAACAGTCACCAGATCATGAAGGTGTCATTAAAGGCAGGACATCATCTTTTTCCATTAAGAACCCTTGGTTCAGTAGCTTCCTTTTAATCAGTCACCGTGCCACCCGATGGTCGAGTGGCACGTTGATAGTAAACAGGTACATTCATAGTTAAAATATGGCATATTGGTATACATATGATACAAATAACCGATATATATTGGAAAATCGAGGATTTGTGAAAATGAAGGGGAGAGACTATGGGGCTCAACATATTTGTCCTGTCCTTACGAACCATATGGAACGAGTCCTATAATATTTACACTAGATAAATTTTTTTTTAAATATTTTGAAACAATTTTAAATATTTCAAAAAATATTTGTATCCGAAAATTGATTAAGCAAACTGGGAAAATGGAGAATTTTGCAGGAAAGTGTGAATCTATCAATGATTTTTCTATGTCCATCTATAATTATCGCAATGTAACACGTACAGCGTATCTTTGGAACTAAAATCTCCTGCTTCCAATTAAGTGTGATTAATTTATTACTGTTGCATTGACTGGGCACAACATCACATCAGCATGTTTTTTTCACAATAACTATGGCACCCAATGTTGCTTGAAGGTAGCGAAGATGTTAGTAATTTTGAAAGAAATGAAGTATATTATATGATAGAAAAAAAAAAAGCTTTGTTAAGCATACAGTGATTTAAAGGTTTTCGTGATCAATAAAAATGCTCTACATTTTACTTAAGTCCATTTAATTTTTTTTAGCTTATTTATAAATGTCCGTATTCATAAAAAAAAATTGCTTTCACTTAAATACTTCTACTAAAGGTTTGCCAGAATGTTATATGACATATTTCTTTATATACTGCAGGCTGGTATAGATGAAGAAAAGCTTGTAATTGCCTTGGAACCGGAGGCAGCCTCAATTTTCTGTCAATATCAAGAAGATAAACGAGCATCTAATGAAAGAAGTTTACTTAATCGAACAGGACAGAAATATATGATCATTGATTTAGGAGGTAAATATTTGTATGCTATCCTATCCACAGTGTACAGGTCCAAGACATTTGACATTTAATAGTATTAGGAAAATAAAACGCGAAATTCGTTTGTATGTTTAGTTATATCATTTATCTATGATCATTGCAAGTCATTTAATTCTATTTTATCTTAACTTGTTTCCTTATATAATTTGGAGTAGATGGCCGACCTTTTTTTATTGTACCTCGGGTAAACTAGTGACGATGTGATTGGTTTAAAGCCATCACGTGGTGACCCCAGACAGAAAGAAAAAAATATTTTTACAGCGTATTATAACAGCCAAAGTGTGTGTGTGTGTGCGTGTGTGTGTGTGTGTGTTATATTTGAGTTTTTGTTGCTGTCCTATTGACGTATACATTATATATACCTCACATCTCTTTTTATTTTACTCATATAAACCGAAAGCAACCGTTAGGATCCTAACCTCATACATAATCAAAAAAATTTGATGATAACTTTTAGGGGGTACAGCTGATATAACAATCCACGAGACACTAACAAAGAGTGATGGCAAATTTCCTTTATTAAAAGAACTACATCATGCTATCGGCGATGACTGTGGTAGCACACACGTAGATAATGCCTTTATGGAAGTCCTGGGAGAAATTCTTGGACAAAAGTTGTTAAAACTGATGAAGAAGAAACAGCCATCCGCCTACCTGGAGCTTCTGAGAGAATTTGAAACAGTTAAAAGAAGAGAAATTGCCAACAAGAATAACTTACGAATTCCTTTAGTGACAATTAATGAGCTGATAGAGGAACTAGAGGAGGATAATATAGATAATAAGATAAAAGTGTCCAAATATAAAACTAAAATAAAACGCAACAGAGAAACATTTTGTATTGATGCTGAATTAATGAAATCGTTCTTTGGACCCACAATAGACAGAATTGTATCTTTAGTGAAAGACACGAGTAAAATTAAGGCGATAAGAGACGTTTCTCTATTTTTGTTAGTTGGAGGTTTTTCTGAATGTAAGCACGTGGTTCACGCTCTTAAAGAAGCATTACCAAACAAAACTTTCATTGTTCCTGAAGAGGCAGGTTTATCTGTACTAAAAGGAGCTGTAATATTTGGTCATAAAACAAGCATTATTGGATCAAGATTCATGATAAATTCATACGGAACAAAAGTGTTTGAACCGTTTGACCCTGAATTGCATGAAATTTCAAAGAAGAAGAAGGCTGGAGGTCGGTATATTTGTACAAAGATATTTGATTTTATAGTGAGAAAAAACGAATCAGTCCCGATAGGTACAACCATAAAAAGAGAATATGTGACGGACGACCTTCAGCAAAACTTTATGGACCTTGATTTGTACAAATCGGACTCCGGATTAACTAAATATATAGATGAAGAAGGTTGCTACCGAGTTTGTAAAGCGACAATAGACATACCGGACCCATCAGACGAACAACGGACCGTTGAAGTTGAATATTACTTTGGTGACACGGAAATAAGAATGACAGCTGTCGAAACAGACAGTGGAAAATCCTGTAAAACTTTTTGGAAATTCATTTAGTTTATTTTATTGTAACATTAACTGCACAAACAACATTCCATAAACTGTGTAGAAATAGTTGCTGTCGCAATTCAAGTCCTTAGTTTATCTCCATTTTAATTCTTATATTTTAAAAAAAAAAATAGTTGTCAACAAATTGGTTACTTGCTCGGACAACGCTGGGATACGTTTTGAATAATATATTTTGGATCTTTTTTACGGAGCCCCGCTAGGGACATACAAAGAAAAAAATATATATTGTGCGCACAATTTAAATATATTGTGCACACAACATTATATATTGTGCGCACAAAATAATTTATTGTGCACAAACAATAATATATTGTGCGCACAGTTTAAATATATATTGTACGCACAGTTTAAATATATATTGTGCGCACAATTTAAATATATTGTGCGCACAACATAATATACTGTGCGCACAAAATAATATACTGTGCGCACTAAATAAGTAAAACAGTTTTCAGTTGACCTTGACCTCATTACATATCATTGAACAAGGTTATGTTTTCGTGGTTAAGTCCTCATCTCAGATACTATATGCAATAGGTCTTCTTTTTGGTATGGAATGATTTTAAGGTGTACATGTCCAACTGGCAGGTGTCATCTGACCTTGACCTCATTTTCATGGTTCATTTGTCCATGTTATTTGATTCTTGTTTGGTCTGTTTTTTTCAGATACTATAAGGAATAAGTAAACTATATTTGGTTTATGGAATGATTGTAAGTTTTATATATTTGTCTGGTCGGTATCATCTGACCTTGACCTTATTTTCATGGTTTATTGGTCAATGTTAAATATCTCAGATTTGGTCTGTTTTTCAGATACGATAGTGAAGATATAGTAGAACTGTATTTTATGTATAAAATAATTATAAGGCGCGTATGTCGAATAATGTTTGTTTCTGAAATACTTTTAGCTATTGGCTAACTAAATTTGTTGTTCGCAATGATTGTATGGCCTACATGGCTGTCTGAAAGGGTTTATCTCACCTCGACATCATGTGCATTGAAAATTAAATGTTAATTTAGCATAATGTTAATTTGATGTAATGCTTGGGGTATAAACTTCCTTTTTTAACTTTCAACATAAATTCAATTATGAACACAAGAACAGTCGAGACGTTTCAGTGTGTCCACTCTTGTTTTTTCAATATGTCTATACAGACTTATATATGATAGGTCAATTGGATGTGTATTGATTGATAATATCCTAGACCAGGGAACATGATTTTCATTTTTTGCGATTGAATTTAAACTAGCTTTCAGAACTTTGTTTTTTTTAATCATAAGATTTGTGCCTTTTCTTCATTTGATGAATAAATCCATTTTCAACTATTTTTACAAGTTATTCTTTTTTTGTGCTGTTTCAGCTTTGTCACAGTTTTGTGGTTGATTGCTCATTCATAAACATGTTTAAACTATGACATTTTATGTTTGCCTGTTTCAAGTCATGGGTCCGTATTTCAAGGCTTGCATCGATACCCGTCTGTCAAATTTGTTTTTGTTGATTGTGTCTTTGTATGGGCTATGGTAGATATGTAGTTGTCTCATTGACAATCGCACCGATCGCGATCAATCGCGTAATAAGTATTTGAATAAATGATGCACCTAAACAAACCACTCTTATTCATCTTTTTTTTAATAATACCTGTAACGTCTATGTTATAGTTAAGCCATTTGAATTGATATTTCATAGTGTGTCTTTTTATGTTGTAATGTTACACTACTGGTTAGGGTGAAGGTTGACGCCTGTTAAAACGTTTAAACCCGCTGCATTTTTATGCTCCTGTCCTATGTCAGGAGCCTGTTGTTCAGTGGTTGTCGTTTGTTGGTGTGGTTCATAGGTGTTTCTCGTTTTGTTTATAGATTAGACCGTTGGTTTCACCGTTTAAATTGTTTTACAATAGTCATTTTGGGACCCTTTATAGTTTACTGTTTGGTGTGAGCCAACACTCCGTGATGAAGACCGTACTTTAACCTATAATTGTAACTTTTAATACATTGTGACTTGGATGGAGAGTTGTCTCATTGGCACTCATATTACATCTTCTGATTTATATATGTACTCAGTTTTACCTTAATTTGATCACAACTTCATGGTGAACTTCTTAGACTGATCACACCGTCACATTTCAACAATGAACAGTAAATTTTGGGTCAAAACCGAACTTAAACATGATCAAACATATTAACCTTTTAATAAAGAATTTGTACGCGTACTTAGTTTTAAGTCGATTTGATAATGATATCTTCAGAGAAACCACAGAATTTATTTAAGTTGATGACATTACAACTTCATCATAAACTACTGTGACCAAAACATTTATCATAAAAAGAGACGGACGGATGGACGGACGCAAAGACTTCTAAATATAATGACCATCTCATATCGTCGACGGGGCATAACAAATCAAAGTCGTGAATTGAGCATCATGTCAGTCTTGTGTCAATCAACATAAACAAAATCTTGAGATTTGCAGACATAAAGTATAATGCATAAGCACAAATAGTAGTTTTAAAATTGTAACAAGAGAATAGGTAAAACCATGTTATCAAAGTCTACATAAGTTCGATAGTGACCTCACTCTAATGCCAAGTCTGTTTCAAACCGTTCCAATAAACACCGATACAAAGTGGCAGCTTCAGACGCATCTGTTGGTAAACCAAGTTCAGACGAAATAAACGTAGCTTCTTCAGTATTCGTTTCAGGTGTCGATAAGAAACAATACAGTGATGATTTTTTGCTAAAAGTGCGAGTATTTCCATGTAATCTAACCCCATTTCAAAATAAACCCTTATGTATTTCTCCATTCTGTCACTTTGAAAAGGAGACATTAAAGCACCGTACCATGTGTAAGCTCAGTGAATTTGAGCGCACAATATATTATTATGTGCGCACAATATATTTAAGTTGTGCGCACAATGTGTTTCAGTTGTGCGCACACTATATTATTTTGTGCGCACACTATATTATTTTGTGCGCACAATATATTTAAGTTGTGCGCACAATATATATTTTTTCTTTGCACGTCCCTAGCGGGGCTCCGTACTTTTTGGTCCTACTTTTGATCCACAATAATTTCTTGACTATTGTAAATTGGTGTATAATATACTTCAAATAGTCAATATTGCAGTAATTATTGTATTATGATAACACGCACCCCTGCTATCTGCATATTTTATACCCCAAAATAAGCCTTTAAACATTAAAAGCTTTTCTTTATTAGGTCAAATAGGAATAAATCATATCATAAGAAATAAAGAAATAAAACTCTTCATAGATACTAGGCTTATAAAGAATTTGGAGGTAGTGATCGCAACAGTTTTGAGAAAATTAAGAATTATTGTATTGAAGGGTGTGGATTACAACCTGAAAGAAAAAAGAGCATGTTATATTCATTGTTTGTATGGTACAACACACATGTATAAGGAATAAGAATATATTGTCAAACTAAACTATCAGTACAATGAGGTCAACTACAGATTAGAGACAACTTTCACGAACACAAAATAAGGAGCTGTGGTATGATTGCCAATGAGACAAATCTCCACCAGAGACCAACTGACGTAGATGTAAGCAACTATTGTATGTCACCATACTAACTTATCAATAAGCAAAACCGATATCGCATATCAAGCTACAAAAGGCTCCGACATAACAAAATGTAAAACAAAACAATTTAAAGATTTAAAGAGAAAAACAACGGAATACTTCGCACATGTACAAGGTTTTACAGGTTCATTATAATGTTTATGCTTCGTAAACGGACAGTAAACGGTCGAAGTCTAACAATTCCAAAATGGCAGTAAATTATTGTAACTTCACTTAATGACAAATAATCAGTTTAAGAAGAAAATCTTTTTAAAATATAGCCGGACAGTTCACAATGTGCCATTATGCTACAGTAGACTATATACCGGCACGTGTATTTACAAAATAACGCTATAGCTTCCCCTCATTCCGTATAAAGTTTACTTCATATGTATAAAGGAAAAGGTAAGCAAAAAAGAGGAGCCCATTTGGTTCCAATAGGGTTGCAAACTTTTAGTGAAAAACCACGTCGGTAATCCTATTTTATGAAACAGATTTGAACTAATTTTTAGGGTAGTTATTTTCATAATAGCTCTGAAGCCCGGCTTTGATTCTTGATGTTAACAATTTGAAAAGAGGCTTCGTGGAACATTTGGCAGATCCAGCGATATAACATTGTTTGTAAGGACACTTATATTGATTTTGTTTCCAGCACAGTGAAGGAAGATCAGTTCGTTATCTTTTTAGTTGATATTCCACAAGAACATAAAACATACCTCGTTGTAGTAAATTATGTGGAGCTTTCAATTGAATTGTCAATAACTTACTTATCTTAATTAAACAAAAATTATGTTATTCCGATACTTTTTCTGCGGGAGCAACAGCATATTTGTCATGGAGGTAGACTGCTGTTCAGCAAAATTTGTGTTTTTGAATAGTGTTGCTTGAGTGTTCGTACACCCATTACATTTGTTATTTCTAATTTGTACCAAAGACGTCGACCTCACAGTCCTTTCCGAGTCGGTAAGTGTCTTCGTCTTCCTTTTCACGTTTAGCCAATTTACTGGCATAATCCTCAACTGAATGTAGTAGTATTTAGTTGCGTTCTAATTCATGGATTTAAGTCATGTAGTTTATACGTTTCGCCGGGATGTATTGTTGACCAGTAAATATAACGTGCCTAGCCGGATTAGATATGAATGGGTAACTAACAAAGGTAACATTACTTTACACGGTAGAGTGGATGCACTCTTACTACATAAGACATTTTGGTGAACTATAGCATTGAAATTGATATAAAGGATAAGGACTCAGCGCTTCATTTTTTGACTTTCATCTAAATTTGACAGTGAAGGGTGGTTTAGAACTTTTATTTACAATTTGTCATTGTGAACTTTTTATTTAAATGTAACAGCATTTCACTGAGCGGCATCTGTATATTGATTTTATACATGTGTCTCACAGTTGATACGATATTCCAGTGCATGTGTCTCCTACCATGTGGTAAGATACAGTCGGTACACTATTTTCCTGCAGACGATCAATTTAAATTGCATGCAAACCTTTATGAAAATGGATAATATATCTTTTACGGACATTTTGAGCATTGAAGCTTGAGTGCAGTATTTAAGATAAAGTAAAAATGTGTTGTACAAACGTAATTTGAAATAGCTGTCAGAAAGGGAGATAATCCACAAAACGAATTTGGTTCTTTTAATATTGTATTGATAATGAACAATATGCAGTTGCAGAAAGTGAATATGCAACCTTCTTAATGTTCTATTTTATAAATATTAGGTGACTTATTAGTTAGTTTTTGGTCAAAGGAAAGTAAATCATATGGTTACAAACGTAGAGTTTCAGAATCTCGTAACATATCACATAGGTTTGTGAAGTAAATACTGTGTCGCCTCAAAATAGTTTTCTAAAAAGTACAGGATTAATATATGTCTATTTAAAGACCTGAAAAGGAAATGGAAGCATAGATTATACAATTCCGTGATTTTATTGTCCATAATGTCAGATATATGACAAATATGTTGAGGTCATGATTATGTTGAATTTGCGTGTTAACTTAATTTTACAAGTTTTAATCTTTACTGCTGTTTTTCCTGGACTTCTCTGACTGAGCTGCATACATATACGGATTCTCATGTTCCAGTGAGGTGTACAGCCAGTAGAAAAAAAAATTAATTTGGTACGCTAGAAATTGATTTGCTTAGCAATATTATACCAATTTTACACAAAACTTTCATTGCCTGCTTTTCTCATCGTTTACTATATGAAGAGAGAAATGATAACATTATATTAACCAGATCTGGTTTTCTTTTGTGTGAATGTATACTGAAAAGCCAGTTTTTAATTGTTTGAAAGGGAGATGATTTTTTTGCCACTTGATTTTTCACTGTGTATGTAGAATATCTGTTTCTAAAAACTTGCCCCTCTTTAAGTTAAATGGTGTACCCCTTATGTACACACAAAACAATGTAATTATTGCAGTGAGATGTACTGATTGACATGGGCAATAGATATTTGTACAACAATGCAGAATACAATAAATTTTATTATGTCAATTAGGGCGCCCTTTACTGAGCAAAATAGTCATTATCACATTGTACAATTAACAATATAAAATAATTTGAACTAAATAAAAACAACAAAATAATCAGTTATTATAAAAACGAAGAACTTATAGATAAAAAACGACAAAGAGTATAACCAATGCCGGAAATGGAATCAGAGCTCTGAATGAGGGCGATAAATATTCCTTCATTTAAAATTATTTCCAAAATTTTGTAACAGCAA